CAGTACTGCATTCTAATCAGTGCTTTTATATCATCAATAATTTACAATAATATCATCAGTACCTCTTTTATATGATACAGAAAGCTAGGATATAGTTAGGGCTGGCATAACATGCACATCACCATTATGCATTTGATTGTAGTTAAACATAGCTAACTTAACTATAATTTGTACTCATGAATAGGTAAGCAGATATTTTATAACTAGTTCCAAATTTAGCTAACAATACCTTAAAAACGTGTTTCGTTTTTTTTATACATTTTTGGAAATGGTTTCTCTTATGACCATTTTCAACAATGAAAACCATCACAAGTAAAAAACACAGAATGAATCCCAATTGAAAGAGTGAGGGAAATTATCTGCTTTTTATGTTTGTACTGTCCAGAGGCTGAGGGTTAAAGTATGTCAAAGAGGATTAAAATATATCAATATGTATCTACACTGATATTTTCTGCTCTCAGAAGGAATGATTTCATAAAATAGTTTGTTGTCTTCGATGATCCTTACCGATGCCTCCTTCGTGTTTGTTTCTTCTGATGCTGATTTAGCCACCTTTTGGATGATGGGAGCAATGTTGGTTGGTCCATAAAGCTGAAGCTTTGGGAGACAATTCTGATATGCTTCCACAACCCCTTGAATCCCTTGTAAAATGACAAGATGAAGAAAAAATTGGGATGAAGGCAAGGACTGAGCAAATTCCTTGGGAAGGAGGACATGACCTCAAGTTTTCCTCCAAGTGAAGTTGTTTTAATCAATTCATGCAATCTTATTTGTGAAAGTGATCAGCTAGACAGCCTGTTTAATCTTCCCAGCCATGATTCTGAAATAGTTGAAAGAAAGCGACTCTCCCCACTGACCTGACCTCATTTATATGACATGTAATATATAATTCATGAACTAGCTCTCTTCCTTGCCATCAGTATTTAACTGTGCATTTTATAGATATTAACTAGCCCAAATATTAAAAGCCTTTGCAAATATGATTATTTTACATGCCATAGAAGCTTTTTATAATAATGCGAACATCAGAAAAATGTTATAATTTTAGAAATTTATAGTGATTAATTATTAGATAGAAATTACCTGGTACATTTTGTTCTCTCTCACTGTCCTTAGTAATTTTGGACTAAGCCATTATATGGTCTTTTTAAAGATCTGCATTTTATCAAGAAATTTGAAAATGAAATATTGGAATAAGATCTATATCTTGAATAAGAAATATTTGTCATGGTTCATTGCTGCTGCTGCTGCTGCTATTGACATAATTCTTTTCAAAGAGAGCTATGTATAAAATCATCTTTTTTAGAAAAGCGATCTAATAAAGCAATCAATTATAAAACAAATTCCCATAAACTAAATAATTAAACTGTGGGTCAACAACAAATTAAAACAAGAGTTTAGCAACAAACTTGTTCTAAGGTCAACAAGTCTATAAACTATTGAATTTCTATTCTCATTTAATATGTAATCCTTTCTGGATTCTCTGAATGATTCACATTTAAGAATATGAAAATAATACCTATACAGGAATTTGTCTTAATAGTGAGTCCAACTATTGAAGGTCCAATCACCTTCAGTTCTGCAGGGAGATATCGTTCCCAGCTATACCTGAAGTGCTGCACATTGATCCTGGTTAGTTCTGTGTGAACTGTGTTACAATTAACACTTCTCATAACACCCTTTCACTGAATATGAGCTCTAAGAAGGCAAGCATACAAAGGATACTGAATATAAGACCAATACTGCTCAGATACATAGATTGAAATAAGCAGTTTGGGGTTAACAATTAAGGAAAAGTACAGTAAACACCTGAGCTGCATTACATTGTTTGCTGTGGAAAAAAAGCTGGTTACCTGCACATTCTGGATTATCTTCATTAAAGTTGATTGCAAAATCATGAGATACCTGTGGACAAAGCCACCCCCCACCCAAGAATTAGATTCATTTTTGCTCTAAAAATAATTCTTGTTTCCTATTGGCAAGTGGAGAATTCAAATTAGTTTCCTTTTAGAGATGAAATAATAAAGGCTTTTCAAAGTTGCAGGTTTTGTGTGGTGCATTAGGGAAGACTATTTACACAATTCAAGTCAAGAGTATTCTCTAAAGTAGAAGAAACAAGAGTGGGAAAACATTCAGTCAATTCATATCCAAATGTGAACTTACCTAATTTTGCATTTTCCAACCATTATATGAATCAAAATTTAGTTACATTCAAATTTGCAGTTCTTCAAATTCTGCACTACAGTTTCTAATAATAATAATATTAAAGCATGTAAATTAGAGAAAAATATTTTGGTATATATTGCAAAAAGCTACATACACCCATGAAAATAATGTACAAGCACTTTATTGGGGAAACTAGCTGAAAAATGTTTATAATACCAAAGAAAGCATTTTGCTAAAAACTTGAATTAATGTTTATAAAACCATCCTGAAAATTGCTATAAACCTTACTGCCAAATTTTTCAGTAACTGCAAACAATAATCGTCAAAACTAATATCTTTAGATTGAATTAACCTATCCATTAAATTCAATCTAGGAAAAGCTGCTGCTGCTGATTTAGTAAAGTGAAGGAGAAGCACTATAGTGTTCAATGATGCCTTCTATTTTACATCCTTTCTGAAAACAGGTTGGTATTTACCTTATTGACATTTGGAAAATTGATTGAAACAGAATTTTTCTGAAGGGCATAATTAGGCAGGCCATTTTTATTTCTTGCTGTTCTAGGTGATTTTAAACTGTTTTTACATATGAAACTTTTTTTTACATAGGATATGATACATACATTTATCATGCTAACCACAGGAAATCTTTGGTGATTATGTAGCAATGAATGAATCGATATATAAATACATGTTTTCTTTTAATTTAGGTCAAACATAAGCTATATTAACTAATATACTAAATATTAGTATAATATTTATACTCCAGAAAGTAGAATGCTCTTCTACACATTCATTAAAGGAATGCATCTTTCTTATCTAATGTTATATAGATTAGTGGTGTGCAGGCCCCTGGGGGGCCACGATGTTGTCATCAGGAGGTCCACAAAGGCTTGAAGAATTGAGTTAAGTCTTGGGGATCCATGGCCATGATCCATGACCACAAAAGGTATTAAAAGGGGCTGAGATATGTAATTTAAATACTTTAATGCAGAGGTATATAATGTGATAGATTAGTTTATATTATCATATAGCTAAGACATGCTCTTTGATGAAGGGAATCATGAAGCCATTAAGAAAAGAGCAGGTAGAAAAGCACATGTTAAAGTGTTAGAAAAAGATTCACATTGATTCCCCTATATTGAATAAAGAGGAAGGAAGGAAAGATATGGAAAGTTCTATTACTATAGCTTGCTTATTTATTTATTTATTTATTTATTTATTTATTTATTTATTTATTTATTTATTTATTTATTTATTTATTTATTTATTTATTTATTTATTTATTTATTTATTTATTTATTTATTTATTTATTTATTTATTTATTTATTTATTTATTTATTGCATTTATATCCCGCCCTTCTCCTTACGGACTCAATATCTCAATAAAATAAAGTTTTAGTCTTCACGTGGAGTCATGCTTCTAATCTGGCCTATTTTGTATGGCTAACTGTTTATGAGGTCTCTAATCTGTATTTAATTCACAAGATTCTTTTCAATTAAAAATTAATAGAAGGTGACATATTGCAAAGCAACACCTTTCTGCAATCTGACTTCTGGGCTGACAGAAAAATAAAATAAAAATGATGCATGATTGGAATTCATTGAGATATTATACAAGAACTTTGGGAGTCCTGAGTGGGTGGCTGGAACAACACATATATCATCCTTCTCCCAAATATACTCAGTTATCCACACACCTTTTCTTTTCATTGAAGCCATTTATATCCACTTGTCCCAAAGATTGTCTGCATGAGGTCCTGTTAATTTTACTCAATATGGCCTCCATTTTTCTTTTCATCCCTACTACTTGGAACTCATTCACAAAACATGGTCATCTTTGTTCAGAGACCTTGACAAAACAAAATTCTTCTCAAAGATTATTTTAATTCCAGTCCTTTAAAGCTCTGATAACCATCCAAAATATCAACTGTACTATATGCTAAAACTAAAACTGGTCACAACAGGAAGAGAAATTGAATAGTATGGGAAACTTTCTCAGGTGGTAATATTATGTGGAAAGCCTTAAAGGCCTTAAAATTATCTTCATTGGTTTGGAATTCAGAATTATGCATAACATGATGCTACTTGAGCTGAAAGCCCCCAAGCTGTAAATCATGCAGATGAATCTAAAATTGCCTCTCCTCTGTATTCCTTCCTGCCATTCACACCATTGCTTCCCTCTCCTTAACTTATACATTATGCTAGAGACATCAAGAAAATGAGGAAGATTCACCTGTTCACCTACTTTATAGTCCGGAGGTATCCTGGCTCCAAACCCATACACTGGGAACATTTTATCACTGAAATTAAGATAGACAAAGATTGTTGATCTTTGTTATACTGGTCTCATTTCATTTTTCTCCCTACACTAAATTCACAAATAAATTACAAGGCAAAAAAAAGTTATAAAAGAGAAAGGACCCACTACATATCATTACGTTGATTTGGCTTATCTCAGCTTGCAAATATAATTTTTTCTATATGAGATAGCTCGATTTTTGCCTCTCTGATAACTAGGAAACTATTATGGCAGTTAAGTCTATTCCTTTTTTAAAAAAATCAAATAGGCCTTGGAGCTGAACCTGACTTCTGCTGACGGCACCTAGGTTTCTTAGAAGTGTTATGGAAGTAATTGGCTGTTGCTTTCTTGGGTTTTTCTTTACTTCCCACTTCATTTAGCAGTCCTAGAATTCCCAGTAAATTCCAAAACTAACTGGGGTTTTTCATGTCAGTTAACTAGATGTCATCTAATAATGTACCCTTTAAGTTAAGCTATTTGTCTAAAGTATTTGAAGGCAGAAATCTTTGACCTGTTAGCTTGCATTTAATGATATGATTCTGCTGAAAACTGATTAATTTGCAATTTACTTTGAATGTTTTTAACTTCAAAGTATGTGTTAAATTGTAGTCATAACATTTTTAATAAAATAAGTTTGTACAACTGCTTCTCTTCACCATTTAGCAGCATCAAAATATTTTGTATTTTAGCAGCATTTATAGCAATATAAATGTATAAATATATACATTTATATTGCTGTATACTGTACATATACATGTATACAGCAATGTACATGCTATTCTGTTGTGTATTGATGGTAAGTCTTGGGAATCTGTGCTAACATCTTATAATTAGCCTTTATATCTATAATGATACCCATACCCACATCTACCTCTATCTCAGACATGTCAAACTCGTGACATCATGTGATGTCGCGCAACGTATCAGGACAATTTTGCTATTGCCGGCAATGGGGTGGGTGCAACTTCCACGTGACGTGTCTGGCCCGTGGGCTGGCAGTTTGACACCCCTGCTATTTATATCAAAAAGTGAACAGGCAATTAATTTTATGCAAATTATCCTATTGTTGCCACCTCTTGAATAAATGCTGATTTTAAAATATTTCAATGCTATAAGAAGCTCTTAACACCTGGCTTTCCCCTCAGGAATTGGAAGGGGATGGGGGGGGGTATTGTGCCCATCTTGATTATTTTGGTTGTCTTATATACAATATGTTTTAGGATTTTTGTTTGTTTGTTTCTTGGGCTTTTTTATTTTAATTTTTTGAAGTTATTGTCATATTAGTTTTTATCTTGCATGCTGCTCTGAGTTGCATGTGATTAGGCAGTTATATAAATTGATTGATAGATTAAATAAATAAACATATGTCAAGTACAGAGGTTGATTGCTTAATTTTACATAATTTGTATGTCTCTAGAAGCCCTACAAACCTAGAGTAAGATGACATAATTGCTGCATGATAAGATTATTTTAAAAGAAATATTGCTCTTTAAAAAAAAGAAATTAAAATATATGGACCTACTTTAATCACTGCTCCGTCAGTTTTGTCCTTAAAAAATAAAACAAATTGCTGCTTAATGCCTTGGGGAAGCTGAACTTGCTGACTAGCAGGAAATGTGTGCTTATAATTGAGCATTAAGTATGTGAAAATAGAAAACACAAATGTGCTACCTACAAAGGGAATAATTAATGAACACGGGGAATATACTTGTGCCCTAACATTAACTTCTAAAAGGTATTTCCTAATGAATTAACCAACAAATACTATACCCATAAATTTATCTGATTAACAGTAAGACAAGTACTGCTGACACAGGAATGCCTGCCTCCCCTATTTATTAAATGAGTCTCAAATGTGCAAGCTAATCACAAAATACATTATCAACACATTTTTACCCATGAATATAAAGCAAGGAATAAATGAGGGATTTAGAATAAGAAACAGTGTAGTTGTAGTCCCATAAAATGGTAAGCTAGGATTCAACATCTGCATCTACTTGTCATTTATGAACACAGACAGCCTGAGTGCCCTTAGCTATATTAAGATTGTCCATGTTCTGTGATAAATTAAAATATATACTTTACATGTCAGCATCTAAAATGTTTATGAATATCCAGCAATTTCACAGCAGATAAGGAAATTGGGAAAAATTTGTTAGAAGGCCAATAATCTGTTAATAGCAATAGCACTAGCACTTAGACATATACCGCTTCACATTGCTTTACAGCTCTCTCTAAGCAATTTACAGAGTCAGCATACTGCCCCCAACAATCTGGGTCCTCATTTTACTGATTTCGGAAGGATGGAAGGCTGAGTCAGCCTTAAGCCAGTGAGAATCAAACTGCTGAACTGCGGTAGCCGACAGTCAGCAGAAGTAGCCTGCAGTACTGCATTCTAACCACTGCACCATTACAGCTCATAATACAAGTTTGTTGTTTGCATTTTGGCCCTACTGATCTAAAGCAGTGGTTCTCAACCTGTGGGTCGGGACCCCATTTGGGGTCGATCGACCATTTCATGGGGGTCGCCAAGCAAGGCTGTCCGCCATTTTTTTCCGCCTTTTCCGGCGGGTGCCTAACCTCCCTTGGGCTGGACCAGCTGGTGGTTGGCCTACTCCGTCTCTGCCGCTTGCCAGCTACGCCTTGGCCAGCGCAGGGGGCGGAACCACGCATGCACGGCGCTCCCGGGCAGGGAAAGTCCTCGACTTACAACCGGTTGGGGAGTCCTCGACTTACGACCGGTTTAGTCCTCGACTTATGACTGGTTTAGTCCTCGACTTACGACCGGTTGGGGTCGCAGCATTAAAAAGGTTGAGAACCACTGCTTTAGAAAGTGCTCTTAAAGAAAAATGGAGAGGCCTTGGGGAAGTTTTGACACGAACTGCCAAAACTTATGGGATACTGCCAAAGCGTATGAGAGGTGTGGCAATTTCCTATATGGCCAGGGAAAACAAAATCAAAACACAACGATTAAGACAGTTAGAAGAAGAATTAACCAGAGTTGAGGAAGATTTGGACCAACTTACAACTTTCT